TTGCTCAGGTGGACAAATTTAGTTCGTGTGTTGTCTCCCCGCAAACTTATCCTCGAATATTACAGTTTGAAAGTGGGTCCGGTATAATACTACCAACACTAACTGTAGCTCACTTTCATTAATTTTCATAAGGGTTTTCGATGTGTAGAAGACAGCAATAGACTACGAAACACTGATTTAAGTATGCGGTTCAACGGTACACCCTATGTAGGACTACATCACATACGCGTGTGTGTGTGTGTGGGGAAGTGGGGGGAAACACTGTCTGCGATAAAAAAAAAGACATACTAGAATGTTGTATTTGACGATGGGGACTAGATAAAACGACGGCAGATGACCGCAATCTAATTAGAGTGTTCATGAAATGATAAGTTGTTCGCAGAGTTACGCCCGAACTGCCCGACCACCATGATACATCTTCCGTCTGATAAAAAAATATTCTATTTCGCATCTTCAATGCACTCACAATTCTCCCAAAATCACTTATGTGGACTTAACAGGTAGATTGCTGCCACATTCGCATTTTGCTAACTAACTACAAGTGTTTGCCACGTTAGACGCATCGAAACACATACTCATGTAGTGTTTGTGAACTATAATCGGCTTTTAGTCATTCCTTTTTCATTTTGGATGTCGGAGAGTAGGAAACTGTTGGTGCCATTTTATAGATCTTAGTATTTTGTATTTATAGTTGACAACCTGCCAATGGAATATTGTAGCCCTGTATGAGGCGCTGCCAGAAGGCAGCGCGTGGTGCTATGAGACGAGAGATGTACACCAACAACATCTATTTTGCGTGTGAGTAGTAACAGGGAAGCATAATTGTTCACAGGCGGGCGTTGGGGAGACGAATACCTTCTGATTGATGGAAGGAACTGAAGCGAACACCGGAGGCAAATGTGTGTTACGAATAATGTTTTTTTTTTCTTAAAAAAATGTTGTGATCGCAGATCAGCATGCGTAGTGTTAAAAGGTTAATTTAAATCTCATGTTAACTGTTGTTCTACCAACAAACAACATGTGTCCCATAGAGTTAATTGCTTATGCTCGCTTCCAAGCTCAACAGCAACACCGATTATGATTAAACTATTATTCCTCACAACTCCTGAATTGAATCGTATAAGCCAGTTGGCAGCTTCGTTCACTGCGGCTTCAAAGTGCAAGAATGACTTGCTTTTAGTACGCACGCCGATGACCCGATTATCATTCCTCAAATATTAACCTCGTAGTGGTTATCCGAGTGCGTACTATAATTACTCGAGGGTTGTCAGAAATAATATGATAAGCATATTCGGTGCTGTTTTGCAGCTTTGGACCAAATATAAACCGTTTACTGTATAGAACATTACAGACTAGTTTATTCGTTATAGAAAAGGCAGCGTTGACCTTATAACTACTTTTCAGTAAGTAAGGGGATCTGGCCTGGATGTAAAATATGAGGAGCTTTTTAAAGTGCCCCAAGGAAAGAACCTCGGAAGACATGACTGTCAACTGAAGAGAGCAATAAGCCGAACAAACCAACGCTCATATTTCAACGTCCAACGGCTCATTCAATAGTGGAACCCCTTGCCAGGGTCTGTTTTGCATTCACCCAATGTGAACATCTTCGAGAATTTACTGAAAGCCTAGGCTCGCCAAAAAATGTGTTCCGAATTATCTAATGGGAATTATTGCAAATTTGCAACAGTTATGCTAGTTGTTTGGACGAGAGGTGTTTGACCACGTCAGAGTTTATGATGTCTGCGGGTTTCAACACTTCCTCCATACTTCCTCCATACTCTTCAATCCTTCACAGGCGTTGTTGGCATCAATCAGAACTCTCACCATCTGCCTGATAAATCGTCTTGCGACTTCTCTACCACAGTCATATTCACGGGTGGCTTATATCCGAGGCATCGTGGCGTCAGTTCTTGTTGGAGGCATTCATGTGGGATAAGTAGCTTCTCATATTTCGCTGCTGCTCGGGTAGAGAAAAGCTCACAGCTGAGAGTTTTGCGAAGGGCGTCGGGCACGAATTGTTCACGAATGACTGAGGACTTTCGAATTCTAGGTATTTGCATGCTTGAGA